AGGGGAAAAAAAAGGTATACATCTTTGTATCAACTTATAAAACTTTAAATGTCAAAAACTCCCAATAACTTGTGTGAAGCACTTATCTCTACTAAGAGCCTAAGGAATTTTTAAACATACCTTTTGCTTTGCCTAGTGGTATCAAGGGCTTTATTTTTTTTTTTTTTTCCAGAGAAGATTTATAAAGCAGTGGGGTAGATGGTGCTGTTCTCCAGCTGTCTATCTTGAGGAGTTTCCTCACTGGACTAAACACAACATAATTTCTCTGTAATGTTACAGTGGAATCTTGGAAAAACATAATGTTCCTCCTGTTATGTGCAATAGATTCTTCTTTAATTGCAGCAGCTAAAAAAAGCTCCTATCTTTATAGCTGTGTAACCAAAGTGACGAAGTTTATGGTCTCTCACTGTCAGCAGGTTTATGGAAAATTTATAGTATATGTTCTAAGTTCTAAGTTTACCATTTTTTGTTGGAATACTTACTAAAACTAGTGCTGAAAAAGCCCAAGATAGGATTAAGAGTTTTGCAATCTTTAAAGATTCCTATAATTTGAATAGTCTTTGTGTAGTGTTTTTACTTTGATCTCCTTTTCCCTAAAACTGTTATTTTATCTTGTCCAGAATCAAGAATCTGTTCAGGCTGTTTCTTCCTCCTTTTCTTTTTTTTTCCTCCATATAAACTGAACGTATTTTGTTACCATTCCCTGACTGACTTTCAGGACTTCTAGTTAATAGAAAATTACTGATGGCACTGGAAATCCCCAAACCTTCTTTTGGTTATTTAGATAAGTTAGAGTAATATTTTTGTTTTTAGTTTTTAGTGATTTTCCAGTTTTGAAGTGAAAATATGTTCATGTTGTCTGTTATAGTAAGAATCCTGAATTTGATTCAGTAACCTCCTGTTTGTAGCTGGTAAGGGTGTTGGACTGATGGTCCAGTTGAGCCAAACTGCACTATGCATGCCTCTGTTAGCTTAATCTGATCGCTCTAGTCATTTGTTAACAACAACAAAGAAAAAGAAGAGAAAAAAGACAGAAATATAAAAACTAGAAGCAAACTGTTCAATGAATTGAAATGAGCAGAACTTGCCTTTAGAAACATATCTAAATATTCTTCAGCTGTAAATGATGCTAATTTAATCACAGAGCCACAGATATGTGATTTAGTTTTAATGTTACTACATTTGGTATTTTATTAGTGTAATTTAGAGTAAATTCCTCACTCTGGAAAATCTGAGTTGGGTACTGGAACTCTGACATATCTAGAAAAGGAAAATAGAAAGTTTGACATTTTAAAAAGGGGAACACAGGATTTCATCAGTCACTTCTATTCATTTAATCAATTCATTTCTCATTTCCAGCTCATGTCTGAATCCTCACCCTTTCAAAAACTCGTTTCTTGAATCAGTCTCACTAAAAATCACTGTGTATGAAGATGCAATTTCTGCTTTGATCTTCCTTGCCAGCATGTCTGTAGTGCTCCTTAGCCACAGTGGCCTGTCCCCTCCTGTTTCTTCAGTATTCCTTAACTGCTATTCTCTCTTTCCTTCTTGTTTCTTCCCTATTTTAACACATGCATATGTACCGTGTATGCATATATCTGGATGGATCAAAGCCAGCATTAATTTTATTTGTATATTCTCAAACTTCAGAAATATAGCAAAAACCCAATCTATACCTGACATAAATTTAGCAAATCTTCAGATTTTGTAGAACCAGTTTCCCTCTATTTATTATGGGTGTCTGAGGAAGACTGGGATAGGCGACTTTCTCCTGTAGAGTGTGCTTGGTAACTCCAAAACAATGTTGGGCCTTCATTTAGGTGAAAGAAATACATAGGGCAGCTTGGTTGCAGTTGAATATACATTAGTGGAGAAATTACCAAATCTGAAAAGGTAGATTTCCCATTGACTATTTTTTGAACAATTCTGGCTAGCTCTGGAAATGACGATGCTGCAGCCAATTCATGGGGTTTTTTTTATTCTCTGTCGTACCTACTCGTGATTTTAAAAAAAAATACACAGTGAATGAGGCAAGCCCTTCTGTATGAGATCTGCATATTTTTAAAAGCATACATGAAGTGGGATTTAGTGAAAACAAATTTTTGCATAAACTCCATGTCCAGTAGTAAAAAGTACCAAATATTATTGTTATATTCTGTACACATTTCCATATTGTGCTCGTAACATGTAAAACGTGACATCTAATAGATCAGAGTGATTAGACTGGGTGGTGGAGTAAGTCCTGGCCTTTAAGCACAGAGTTCAGGTTTTAGAAACTTAGCTCTCATTTTTCTGGGGGGCGGGGCCATAAGCAGATGCATCTAATGCCATCTCTAAAGCAGGGTGAATTAGCAGCATGTGTTAATTTGGAGCAAGCAGGATAGTCATCACCATGCAGGACAAGAAAAATACCCCCCTCTGATAATCTGTTGCATTTCATAGCTTTTTTATATCTAAAAATCCCATATATGGTATGCAGAATCAAAATCTGATTTTTTGCAGTATACACAAATAAAAAATTCAACTTCTTCATGGGATTTGGCTTGACTAACCCCCCCACCTCACCCTCGCCCTTTCTTGTTCTCTTGCTCTTCTTCCACAGAAAAAAGTAAGCCAAGGATGCTACCACAGGGATTCCAAGCCAGCCTCTAAGATCTTGTTGGTGGCACTCACATTTTTTTTTCTTCTGAGATATGTCCCAGGCTGTGTGCTGCACGGATACTGCAGCTTTCTATTGCTGAGCACTTTTAGGGGACAGGACTGTAACTTTCCACACTGGCAGTGTGTTTTAATGCTGTTTGCATATGGCGGAAATTTTAAATATTTGTCTCTCTGAAAACACACAACCCTCCCAAAATAATTAAATGTGTTTTAAAAAACTGCATGCAAGGAGCACTGAGGTTGCACAGGACGTACTCAGAAGTCAACTGTCCGTGTGCACGCTTATATCTTCTGTCTTCTGCATAACTATTATGCTGGAGCATATTATTGCATGTCAATATAGTAATTGTAACATAGCATACATGTTGGATAATGCTTTAAATAAAAAATTTAAAGTCTATTTTGTAAAACACTATAGAAGTGGGTACTTCTTATGGCAGGCAGCTTCACATTCATTCTCAGATTATGCAGTTTAATATGAGATAATGCTTTTTCTATGTATTGCTGAAGCTTGAAATGAAATCTATAAGAGTGACTGACCTTAAATCGTAACTGCCATTCATTTCAGTCTGTGTAGTCCAGCAGACTGGTTGCTGAGAGCTGTGCTTGCTTGCTGTTTTGTGATTCTCTGCAGATGCACATTTGCCCACTATATGCAAACATGCACACGCTCTTTTTTTTCTCTCACACTGTCTGGCATATTTTCAGAATAACTCTTTGAAGACTTTCTGAACTGCTGGGTATGATCGTCTGATTATTATTTTTTTAACTGGTAACATGTTTAGTCCAGTGTTGTTTAAACAAGCTTATCTCTTTGATCAAAGTCTACAATCTGAAATTTGAACAGGGTAGGGAGGGTGGCTGGGTGGGTGAGGAAATCTATCAAGTACATATTTACGTGCGTGCTGCTGTCTTAGCTGTGTGCCTGTGGAGGTAAAAATGTATATTGCTTCAGAATAATCTTGCATATATAAATGACTTTGGCTATTTTAGTAGAAGTTCTGAAAGCATAGTATTATTACTAAAATAAACCCAGTTTTAGTAAACTTTTCTTGAAGCTATTAGTGACCTGCATATTCAGTTTTTCGGTTTCTTGGGTTTTTTGAAGGTTATGCCGAATAACTGTGGAGTTGTTTAAGTATAGCATAGACTTTGCTAGTACTCAAAGCATACTAACTGGAGCCCATATATTAATGTGTTTAAGGTTGGCATTAGCCTATTTCACTGACTGAACCACAGACCACAGCAATAAAGCTAGAGAGCTTGAAACAGTTTCTGGAGGTTTTCATTTAGCTAGTTCAGGAGAACTGGTTTGTGCAAAGTTAAAATTATATGGAATGAGATTGCAAGATGAAGCATGCATGCCACACCTTTTCATTATGTTCTCCCTCTTCCCTTTTTTTTTTTTTCTAAATATAACTTTGAGAGGCATTTCAGTTTATTTTAAAGCTGATCCTATTTGATTATTTTAGATTACTTGATTTTCTAGTCTGATTTCAAAATTCAAGTTTGCTGAGCTTTTGTTTGCAGGACTAGGAAAAAGAATTTCCTGTATTCAATTCATGTATCATGCAATCAAATAATTTTTTCCTAACTTTTAGGATCTTCCTGGGCAAAGTCTGAATGATGCTTTATTTCATCATTTTACAGCCTAAAAAGAAGCAGACTGAAATTTCTAGGCTAATCTAAAGCTTTTCCTTGCTTTCTAATGTTACCATTACACCCTAATAACTTCATGTTTCTATTACTGACGGAACTATATTGTAAATCTTTTCTTCTACATAGATATCATATACACGTTAAATTTGTTAGCTGGTTTTATCGACTGCGGCTTGTTGCACACACACAGAGGCGCACACGCTTGCACGCACACATTCTGCTTTGCCCTGTCTCAGTTACAGCACAGTCCTACTCAGGGTCATTACAATGTACACATTACATATTTCTAGCAAACATGAAAATGAATCAAACAAGAGGAGAGATAAGCACAGATAGATTGGAGCCTGCTGAGGAAATAAAAGGCAGTAATCTGCCTGACCACTGGACTACTCTTCCTGGTTGGATTTAAGTGTTCTTTCCTGTTAGTTGCCGTGGAGCGCTGGCTGCCCCGAAGTGAAAAATTAAACGACTAGTAAGAATGAAGTAACATTTAGTGAGACAATTGTTTGGTATAACTCCAAAACTAATTGTTTCTGAAGTGATGTTTGAACCAACGTCGGCACAAGGCAAGAGCTCCTGGCTCACAGCCAGCACCTTGTAATGCATATTAGTGCAGATGAGGAGTTCCTAAAAGTTAGAGAGAGGGAGAGGGAGGGAGGGAGAGAGAGAGAGAATGTGCGTTTTCAGTGCTCACTCTGCATTTGTTTGTATCCTCCTCCTCGCCGAGATTAGAGGGATACCTGTGTAGTGCTGCTTTATAATGATTTCTGCTGAGCCTCAGAATAGGTTGTGGTATTTTTTTTAGGTGGACTGCCAGCTGCCGATCTCGCTGTTGACAGTAAAAGCAGATATGTTCCTTGCTCACTGCCATTAGCACTGACCATGACTCTTCACACCAAAACCTCTGGAGTTACACTGCTGCACCAGATTCAAGGCACCGAACTGGAGACACTGAGCAGACCTCAGCTGAAGATTCCCCTGGAAAGATCGCTCAGCGACATGTACGTGGAGAGCAACAAGACAGGAGTTTTTAACTACCCCGAAGGGGCCACTTATGATTTTGGTACTACAGCTCCAGTGTACAGCTCTACTACTCTCAGTTATGCCCCTACTTCTGAATCTTTTGGGTCCAGCAGCCTGGCAGGATTTCACTCACTGAACAATGTCCCACCAAGCCCAGTGGTGTTCTTGCAAACAGCGCCTCAGCTTTCACCCTTCATCCATCATCATAGCCAACAGGTACCCTATTACCTTGAGAATGAACAGGGCAGCTTTGGGATGAGGGAAGCTGCTCCTCCGGCCTTCTACAGGTAAATGCTACAGATAATTTTTCTTTCTTCTTTAAGCAGATGAACAGAGAAAATTAGAATGTGGAAATATGTATGCCCTAATCTTTTCTTTTTGTGTAAAGGACCATGTGGTTTAATTGAATCGTCCATGATATCTAAACTATAAAAGAATACCGTAGAATAAAACAAAACCGTAATTCACAGCCCACTGACTGCAAGCTGTAAATTTTGAAAACTGTCCGTAAATGAGAAACAAACTGGATGATGAATATAAATGTTTCCTGGGAAAACATGAAATCATAATTGATTAAAGAATGGCAAACCACCTCCCTGTTGTAATATATTAGAATTACTGTCTGAAGTATACTAAAAAGACTTCCACTGTCACACTTCTGGAGGTGAGTGGTTGTTTGTTCAGCTCTTAGCTGGTAGTAAGAGTATTTTTCTCCTCTGGTTTCCTTTACAGTGTGAGAAGTGGCTTATATAGGAAGTAATTCAGAAGCACAATATCCTTCCTAATCAAACTGTTAAAGTTGACTCAGTGACAGTATTTCAGTCAGTAACCACCTTCATGAGCTATCCTAAGAAGAGCTGTGTACATATTAACCTGCATTTTTCATTGGAGGGTGATATATATTAACCATAAATCTGGCATGTTGCATTTCAAAAGATAAGATTTTGGGGGTTTTTGTATTTTTGTCCCTGAATGGAAGGGTTATTGTTTTTGTCTGGAATAGAAAGATAAAAGTATCTTTGAAGGTGGGGGAGGGAATAATTTTCCTTGGTTTAAATATTTATTGTCAGTTGTGAAAACATTTATGTAATTTTTGAAGTAAGTGATAGAAAGTGATAGAACTGTAGCTTCCAAGAAAATATAGTCATACACACCAAGACCCACAGTGGTAATGTTTGTGCAAGGTTAATAGCATAATTTTGCATCAGCCTGTTATACTGGGCTTCAGAGAAGCAAAGTAAAGAGTTAGGTGTATTTTTTTTTTTCCTAAACTCTGTCTGTATCTGTTTATTGGAGAGATACAGGTGAGTTTGCTAGAAATGGAACGCCTCTGAAAAAATAAAAGCAAGTTGTTTTTTTCCCTGTTGAGGGTCAGACTCTGCCAGACTTACTTGCACAATATAACACTTTACTGTGAACAGCAACGTATGGTCTTAAAGATAGTTTAAGTCAGCCCGACTAAGAATCTGGTAGCAGAATCTGGTCAAAAAACCCAGATGATAGTTGCACTTTTTGCAAACGATTTATTAGTTTTGTGGAGCGGATGGAGTTAAGACTGGTGAAATGGTAGATAACGGCTATGTCAGACTGTCCAATACAGTGATCCGTTAACTGAATTGGTTCAAACAAAATGCATTTTACTGCAACCAAATACAATACCTCTAGGGAGACTGAATACATGTCAGAGCATAAAGATCTTGAATGATTACTAGTGACTTGAGAGTAAAACTGCACTTTGCATTAGATTAAAGGTTTTTTTTACACGAATGTCCCATGCAAACCTATGGTGAAAAGTGTCTAAGCGACCTCAGATATGTAAACAGTGGAGTAGTGAGTTTGTGAAGTTGAAATATACAGACAGAAAATGTACTACAGTTGGGGTATTTTACTTGAGGAGGAATCAAAACCAAGAATCACCTGGAAATACAAGTTGAACTATGGAAATAATGTCCTTTTATTTTTAAACAGTGAATTGAGGTGAGACACTTCAAAATAAAATTAACATACTTTATTAGTTTAACTACTGGAGCAATTGTTTAAGGCCAGTGCTGGATTCCCCATTTCCTGACACTTGTGATGAAGGATGGGCGTCTCCCTTGAAGATGTGTTTTAGCCATATGCAGCTGATGAGGCTTAATGCAGCAGTAATTAGGTGAATTTATGATCTTGGATATGCAGGTGGTTTATCTGTCTATGGTGTTATACAAGTGATTTAATGGTCCCTTCCAGCCATAATTCTGTAAAGCGCGTCTTATGTGGTAATAAGAAACGTGTATCAAAGTGCTTGCTGTGATTATCTTTTGTTAACAGACGTAGTACTGTTGGAATTAAATTGATAAAATCTTTGCCTTTTTTCCTTTTCATTTTTGCAAGATTCTATTTACAAAGTTATCACCCTTACAACATTAAATATTAGGTCTTTATTCTTGTGTTTTGGCACAAATCCAATCACCAATAGGCCGTTAAAAATAATTTGAACAGATGCTCAGCATTTGGGAAATATTTATATATCTAATCATGGGGTTTAAGAACAAATTCTTTGAAAAATATCGTAATGCATGAATTTCCAATTTGCTTTATTCATTTGGCTAATCTCATTGGTTTCAACTGGGTTAGGGCAGAAAAGGGAGCATGGGGCAGTGTAATCTGGCAATGAATAAATTGATGCTGGAGATTGGAAGATGTCTAACTACCAAAATGGTGAGTTTCTGGAACAACCTATCACCAGGATTGGTAAAGGCAAAAATTCTCAAACCGAAGGCCCTAACAAAATTTAAAAAGGATCATGATCCGTTTATGATATGGCTGCCTGCTTCTATAGTAAGTAATGTAACCTAAGACCCAGAAGACTCCTCTGCAATTCTCGTTTAACTTGCTGTGTGACAGAGTCGTGCTGTTTGGCATGTAAGACAGAAATATTTGCATTGCATCATCCTATTATATTCTGGATTTGAGATGCAAATGCTGCATTCAGTGGTACAAGTGCCTAGAACAATAGATAATCGCTGTAGGTTGGAGCTGAAATTATATTTTGTTAATACTTGGATAAAATGTTAAAAATCTTCAGTCACAAAACTCAAAACTTACTGCATGTGATAAGGAAAATTTTAATGTCATTTGATTTTGTTAATAAGTATTCAAAATCGTACTGCCTATAGACATATGTAGCTACAAGTGTATTAATTCTGAAGTTACATTTTATTTCTTTCAGATAATGTTTCCTTTTCCAAAAGGCTTTGTCTCTTATTGCAAAATAATGACAGGCTTCTGTATCTCGCTGAAGAACATAATGATACATAAAGAAAAGAATGACTTTGTAAAGAATACAAACCCCATACCAATCTCCTCATTTCTGGAGTGTCCAAATCATGGGACATCAAAATTTGAGAAAAAAAGAAGGGGCTTAATTCAAATTGTGCTGTCTTTAACTTGACCCCTTTTATGTCTGACCGTGTGGCTGTTTTTATAGGGAGCCAAACTAAAATACCTTTCCCTTATCTTACAATGTCTGTATCTTCCAGTAAAAGGAAGAAGACATAGCACCAGTTATGTTTTTAATTCTCTTCAAATCTCACTTATTTTATTTTCTTGATCATTTTTATAGTAGGGTTTTTTTTTTTAATTATTAAATACTGTCTAATAGTTGATTATTATTACAGGAAATCTTGTAGTCATGGATATTACAGTAAATTAATTGAAAGATTTCTTTTGTTCTTTACTACTGAATTTGAGTTCTGGTCTTTTCTTGGCAGGTTTTTGTTCATTCAGGGAAACACCAAGAAGCCTTTCGGTAGCTAATTTACCTCAGTAAATTCCTACAAGCAACAGCAAAGACGAATCCTTTTTTGATCTGCCAGTGTGTGATGTTCCTGTGTCATCCCATTGACCCTGCACTTCTCAGATCTGAAGTAAAATCGTGCCTGTATTTCAGGCTCTCTGTAGCCTGTGTTTGGTGCTGCTTCCAAATTTGGCCAAAAACCATGTAAAAATGGACTGCACCTACCAGCTACCTGATGAGGGAGTTGTCTGGCAGTCTGTAGTGAGTGACAGAGGCAGGGCAAATCAGTGTACAAACAGAAATACTAGATGAAAAATCATTCATTGCTCCCTCACATTTGGTGGCTAGTTTGTGAGTGTCTTCTAGTACCACAGGCTCTAGGTTTAGATTAATATAATAAAGTATTTATTTAGCTTTAGTCCCAATTATCATACTGAAACTGACTCTGAATAATTTTAAACCTGCTGTTCCAATCAATATGATCACAGCTTTAATTTTTAATGCTTGCTAAAATTGAGAAAGATCACAAATGTAGGTCGATCCCTCTTCTGCTGTAATTTATATATCCATCAGTCTGGAAAACAGTTACTTATCCCAATATGTGTTGTTTTTTTTTACCTTGCCTGATTCATTATGAATCTTTCTAGCTGCTCATGTTGAGTTCTAAACAAGAAGGATTTTTTCAAAATTTAAAATGTTACAGTGAATGCAAAATGCAAAGATAATCTATCTTTTTTTATTGTAGTATGAGGTATTCCAGAACATGGAGTACTATGTAATGTAGTGTTTTGTTTTTTGTTTTGTTTATTTTTCTCTAAAGCATCAATCTGCTCTCAGGGTCCTCTCTTGAACAGTTCAAGTGTTCAGGCAGTTTCTTGAACACTCAGAGCATTCCTGTTTTCAGAGCTTGTACTGATATCTCTGTCAATTTTACAGCAATACATGACTGTAATGAAAGAGACAGGAAAGCATTGAGTTATCCCATTTCTTGGAAATGTTGTAAAGATAAACCTGTTAAATGTTCTGAGATACTCACACATTACAGTTATGAGGGACTTGTACAAACCAACTTTGCTGTTTCTGCAGCTCTTCTTAGAGAATGTGCTGATGTGGATCCTGCTGCAAGTGTGCTTGCACCATAAAGTCGCCAACCCATATTGTTGAGGTGCCTCTACATGTGTTCTGTGCCTCCTTGTGCCCCTGAATAAGGCTGGACAGCACTGGAAAGGGGTAAAGGAGCTGTTATGCCTCCTCATTATCCTCCTTTCTGCCAAGGCACAGAGATGGATCTTATCTGCTCTCTCTGACCTTCCCTTTCAAAGTTTTCTTCTTATTGAAGAAAACTTTCTTCACTTCTGTATTTTTTGCATAAACCACAGACTCAGGAAGTGCTCCATATACCAAGTCCGTTACATGTGGATTTACAGCTTGTGGCTAAAGGCCATAGTTGTTCAGGCAGCTCATGTGGACGGGGTTCATCTGATTAAATGTAGACACCTGGGTCTTTAT